CCTGGGACTCCAGGATCATGCCCTGAGCCAAAGGCAGCCGCTGAACCGCTGAGCCACCCAGGGATCCCCAAACTGACTAATACATGATTGGTTATTTAGCTAACAAGTTTAAGTTTATTGTCTACTTCATGCCAAAGTAGAAGGATGTGTCCCAGGAGGTGGTCCTGTTGCAACTGACAAAAGTCAAAAAGTTCATGGTGTTCTGAGAATTGAAACAGGAGATGTACACAGGACTTACTTCCTCAATATCCTTCTAACTCTATTTTGAATGACTATCTTAGCAATGGTTACTTCATCTTGAATCTTCTTTCCGACCTTCAATTATGAATGTTGGCAAAAAAAAAAAAAAAATTCCACAGTAACACAGCAGTATTAACAGTAAATTTGTCACCATAAAAAAATCACAGGTATTTTTGTTACAGGAACTCTTTCTCCATTGGTGCATGTGGTTCTTGAACATGCCACTTCGAAGAACAAAAAGGTAGACCTGACAGAGTAGTAGGCAGCAAAGCAAGGGGTATTGAATGATAGCAATAGTACAAAGCTCCCAAGGAGGGAAGGGACCCTAGGCGGTTGCCCTCAGAGTTTCTAAATCTTGGGGTTTCTATGGGCTGTTTTAATCTGATTAACCCTCTCTCATCCAATTAACCTCATCCAATCAGGTTTTTGTCACCTATCACATGGGAAAGGGTGGAGGGCTCCATCCAGGGTGGTAAAAAAAATGCTTTTAAGGATGGTCTCCCATTAGGGCTGTGGTGGGGGAGGGGTGCTTGTCCCTGCCTGCCTGCCTTCCAACTATCCTTCATTTTCATGTTATTAGAGTTAATGCAGATGATCTTGAAATATCATTTAAGTTCATTGGTTAAAAAATCATAGTTGTTTTGGATCTGCTACTAGATCTTGTTAATACAGAAATACATATTATCATGTCACAATTTGTTTTTAAAAATATTTTGAGAAGGGGCACCTGGGTGGCTCAGTGGTTGAGTGTCTGTCTGGCTCAGGTCATGATCCTGGGCTCCTGCAATGGAGTCCTGCATCAGGCTCCCAGCATGAAGCCTGCTTCTCCCTCTGCCTATGTTTCTGCCTCTCTCTCTCTCTGTCTCTCATGAATAAATAAATAAAATCTTAAAAAATATATATTTTGAGAACTTTCATATTGAATTAATTTCCTTTGTAATCTTATGTATTATATTTTAAGAATTCCCAAACATTATTCTAATTAGGAGTCTATGGGTAGGAGTCTATGGGTTTTACTAAGCTACCAAAGAGGTTTATGGCCCCAAAAAGGAAAAGAATTCCTGTCCTCAGGAATTATTTTCCTTTGTATGGTTGAACTTTAGTTATTGCTTTTTCTATGTTGCAGTCCAAACAAATGAGAATGATAGAGGAATTTCAGGTAAAGCATTCCCTTTGGAAGAAGTTACATACAACATTTGTGCTCATACTTCATTATGAGAATTAAAATGTGGCAATACTTAGCTGCAAGGGAGGCTTGGGGAATGTTGTATCCAGTTATGTGACACTGTATCCAGTTAAATAATACTAACAGGAAGGGGAAGCAGAACACAAGGGACAGCCAAGAAAAGAAAAAGGAAACCAATGACCTAATTTGCCACTTAAATGTATAATAATCATCTTTTGTACACCACTATAATTTCTTACTATAGACATGCTAATGATGTCATGCATTTTTTTTACAAGAGTTATTTATTTATTTTAGAAAGTGAGAGTGCACACAGTGGGGGGGGGGCAGAAGGAGAAAGCAAATTCCAAGCAGACTCCCATTGAGCATAGAGCCTGTCATGGGCCTGTCATGGGACTTGATCTCATGACCCTGAGACTGTGACCTGAACCAGATGCTTAACCAACTGAACCACCCCAGAGCCCCATGTCATGCACTTTTCTAAAACATGTCTTATAAATTTAGGAGTTAACAAACCTTGAGGCTAAGTATTATGCTTTTAAAAGATTGAGATCATATCTATAGTTGAATTGATTTTTGAGTTTTTGCTTTTGAATGTTGGGAAACATAGGAAGAGGATGTGTAATTTATGATAGTAGACATAGCATACAGCAATCTAATCTTTTGGGGAAATCTTTCCTCAGCCTGTTGTGCCCAAGATCCGGAATCTGAGAAACCACCGAGGAGCCGACACTGATGCAAACACACGAGGGTTTATTTACAAGCTCGAGCCTGGGTCCAAGTGTACCCGACACAGTGGAGCAGGGACTTGACCCCGAGACTAAGAGGCTTAGCAACTTTATAGGGGCCAGTGGCCAATGGGATACACAGAAAGTTGCACAGTCATGCTGGTCCACTCGCAGGTGGCCGATTGAATTACATTTTACCCTACAGTATCCATTTGAACTGGCCTGTCACTGAGCCGGATTTCCGGTTAGGGGTGCCCTGGGCTTGACTAGGGTGGGGCAGTGCCCTGAGCAATAATAAGCAGGTCAGCACAAGGCGGGTGCAGCACAAAATAGAGTCAGTCCTGCTCTGCTTGTCCAGGGGTAGGGGATTTTGTTAAATTTCCTGGGTCCCACAAGCCTGACCATCTGGATAATATGGTTCTTTGGAACACTGTGCCATAAGTACCATAAAGAGAAGTCAATGTAAGATCCAGCCCTGTTTTAAATATACTTTCAAGTCCTAGAGATTGTGTCTTCCCTCTGCAAGTCTCCTTGCTGGTGATCCTTCAAGGCTGCTAAATTGATGAATGCCAGTTGTACTTTAGGATTTGTGGAAAGACCAAACACTTTTTGGAAGTCAGACAAGCTTTACTTATCTAAAGGAGAAAGGAGAAAGTCAGCATAAACACAGACAAGGATACATGGCAGAGAGATCAGTGACTTCATCTCAAATAAAGTTGTAGCTTCCTGGGCATTAAGCCTTCCTTAGGCTGTATAGGAGTGGGGTCTGCATCAGACTTTCTGGCAATAGAACTCCCTCTCCCATGGGTTGATTTCTCATAGTCTATCTGTATGGCTTAGGCTCTGGAAAACCCCTTTTCTGAGCCAAGTATACCACTCCATGCTCCAGGAGATGTCCTAAGTTAATGCGTTAATTTATGTAATGGTCTCAATAATCCTAGAAAGTAAGTACAAGTATCCACTGCTTTTCACTTTTTGAAAGGTCTCCTTATGCTACTTTGCTTTTACGAAAGACTTACATTAGTACTTGTTTGTGCTAACCCAAAGAAATCTGAAGAAGATGTTTGCTTTCCTGCAAAAAGATGATAAGTGAGAATAGCATTCAGCGTTTGTGATGCGGAGTGTACCCAGAGCAGCCAGAGTGGCATCGCCAATTCACCTTTCTTGGGAACTACACTCGGTATCTCAGCATTGAGCTGCTATAGCTTTTAACTATGTCTGTGAGCATCTGTGCTTTATCCCAACTTATTCTGTGCATCTGTTAGCAAGATGTGTCCTAAGGAAAGCCTAAAAGGAGTTGTTCTTTGGGTCTGGGAGTACTCAAAAATGTTTCCACATAAATTAATGGTAATTGCTTCCTCACTTTACACCGCTTTGGCTTTTCATATGAATTCTCTACTTTCAGACAGCAGGAGAAACCTGCATTCCTGTTATTCTTCTTTTACAGGCAGGAAAATAGCAGAAACAGATTAAGTGATTTTCCCAAAGTTGTATGTCTAGTGAGTGGCAGAGTCAAGATCCAGACCTGGGGGCGAAGGAATACCCTGCCTCCCCTATGCCAAGAACTAACCACCTCTGCCTTTTCTTATGTTTAACCACTCAGACATATTCTCTCATTTACTTCTTCCTATAAAACCCCTCATATAAAAAAGGCCTATCTTTGAGAAGTTTCCTTTGCATTAATTGTCATTCTCCCTATTTCAATGACCTGAAAAAAAAATTATTTACTTGGTGCCTTCACTTGGTGCGCTTTCTCTTTCACTTGTTTTATATTAAGTTTGCTGACCCCATACCCTGTATCATTGGCTCTGAGACCAGCAGCAACAGCCTCTCCCAGGAGCTTGTTAGAAATCTACCCTTTCAGGAACATCTAAGTGGCTCAGGGCTTGAGCATCTGCCTTCAGCTCAGGGCGTGATCCCAGTTAAGGGCTTGAGACCCCATCGGGCTCCCTGCATGGAGCCTGCTTCTCCCACTACCTGTGTCTCTGCCTGACTCTCTCTCTCTCTCTCAAACTAATCTTAAAAAAAAAAAAAAAAATCTGCATTTTCAGCCTTACTTTAGCCCACTGAATTGGCAATTTTGCAAGGTGGTGCGCTTCAATCCTTTTTAAGGAGCTCTCTGGATGCTTCTGATGTAAGTGAAAGGCAGAGAACCACTGATACTTTTTTTTTTCATTCAAATTTAATTTTTTTGTATATATATATTTAAATGTCTTATTTAGTATATATATATATCTTTAAATATCTTATTTATTTATTCATGAGAGACACAGGCAGAGGGAGAAGCAGGCTCCATGCTGGGAGCCCGACTTGGGACTCGATCCTGAGACCCCAGGATCACGCCCTGGGCTGAAGGCGGCATTAAACCGCTGAACCACCCAGGGATCCCCTGTATATATTTTTTTATTGGATCCGATTTGCCAACATAGAGCATAACACCCAGTGCTCATCCCGTCAAGTGCCCCCCCCCCCGCCCGGGCCCGTCCCCCGTCCCTCCATCCCCCCGCCCACCTCCGCTTCCACCACCCCTTGTTCATTGCCCAGAGTTAGGAGTCTCTCATGATCCCTCACCCTCACTGATACTTCCCACTCATTTTCTCTCCTTTCCCCTTTATTCCTATCAGACACGGGAGCGCGCTTTTGCAAATCTCGCCGCCCGGGACTGGAAGGCCCGACCGGCCGCCGCCTTGCTTACCCGGGGGGCACTAGGACCCGGGCGCCGCCGGCCTCCGGGCGGCCGCCCACAGCCGGGGGCGGGGCCCAGCCGCGGGAGGAGCCGGGGCCTCGCCGCTCGACCCGCCCCCGGAGGCGGCCCGAGCTGACTTAAACTCCGGGGCCCGGGAGGCCGGAGCGTCCTCCCCGCTGGCCCGCGTTGGGCTCAGGGCCCGTCGGTAAGTGTGCGGCCGGGCGGCCCGCGGCCCCTCGCTCGCCTCCGCGGGTCCGCGGCGCCCCAAGCCCAGGCGCCCGCGGGCGGGCGGGCGGGCGGACGGACGGACGGACGGGCGGCGCGCGGCGGCGGACGCTTTTGTTCTGAGGCGCGGACGGAGGCGCGGGGTCGCGGGCGCTCGGGCGGCTCCGGGCGGCTCCGGGCCTCGGGCGGGGACAGCCTCGCTCGGGGCCCCGCCGGCCGCCGCCAGACTCGGAGCCCGCGCCCAGGGCGGCGCCTCGCGGGCTGTTTGCTTTAAACCGCCTCAGTCCTCGCGGTGGAGGTGGCGGGTGCGCGTTTTGTGGCGCCGCGAGGCGATTGTTGAGGCGGTGGGTGTGAGAGAAGCTTCTGTTTTTAATTATTTCCTGTGTCGTGGTCGTGGGAAAAAAAAAATCTTTGTTTTTGCATTTACTGTTTCTCGAGCGTTTCCTTCCTCCGCGGCTCCATCCTGCTGACCCTCCCGAAGCGGGGTCGCCCGGCGAGCGTCTCCCAGGGGCCGGCGGACGCTCCCCGCGCTCGGCCGTGGTCGGTTCCTCGAGGCGTCTGTCGCTCTTGGGTGTCCTCGGGGGACTCCGGTCTCGACCTCAGCGGCGACCTTTGAGGGGGGGGGGTGGATCGTTTCCGTGAAGACAATTCGTTTGTGACACTTCTCAAGAGCCCAGCTTGAGAAGAAAAGAGGGGGCAGGCGGCGTCGCGATTCCAGCTCGGGGCGCATTTCCGTAGGGAGCTTGTTTGGGGATTTTTCTGTTTGACGTTGGCTGTAAATGGTACGTTTTATTCAGCGTGAACATGCAGGAATGTTAAGGTTTTACTTCACATTCTTCTTCTTTTTTTTTATTATTATTATTATTATTATTATTATTATTATTATTTTCTGTGCAGTCGGATTCTCTGAACTCTTCCAGTGAGGGAAATTGCAGTGCAATTGAAGTATTTGTTCTAGAACGGTCGGACTGGAGTGAACCTGGAGGACCCCCCCCCCCACATGAATTCTCATTCTAAGCAGTGAAGGGTATTCGAGGCCACACCTAGTTTCTGTTTCTGTCAGGTTGCACACCTAGTAGGAATTTTGCAGACTTAGTGCATTTTTTGGTGCAACCTTACAGGAACACACTCTGGCCCGGCAGTTGTCCTATCAGCGTAAACAGATTGAACGTGTGCTTTTGTTGTGACTTTAAACTTCATTATAAATAAAAAATATATATATATACACGCTTTGTATTAAACCGCTAATTGCAGAATGTTTTCTTGCTCTTCCTAGGACCAAAGAAGTAAAAACACCGTGTGAAGGGGGAGCACGTGTTTGGAGGGAAATGGGAACGTACACAATGGTAAAGGAGTAAGATTATACTTAACAAGTAAGTATGTTACCTCCAAGCAGCTTCCTCTGATTTTTCTGTTGTGGAATGAAATTATTAATTAAACGAATCAGCATCAGTTAAGACAATTAAATGGCAGGATACAATGGAATCGATGACAGAGCTTGAGGACACATGACAATGGTTGACCTAGCCTAGAGAATTCAGTTGTTAATCTTTTGTGAATAAGGAAGAGTAGATGGTGGTGAGGTGACTGGGTCAAGTTACTCAGGCAGAGAGAGGTCTACTTAAGATGGTTCTGTTTCTTCCTTTTTTAAATTTGTTTTTATTATTTCTGGCAAGGGGTTGGGGTACGGCTGCATAGAGCTCAACTCTAGGAGAACCATTCTGTGAGAGGACAACCTCTAAAACCAGAGTGATCATCTCCAGGGCTTCCATCCTGTAAACACCCAAGTTGTGTCAGGAAATATTCTGTAATGATTAAGACCGTGGCCTTGCATCCTTTGCTGAGTTTCAGGTCTTGGCTGTACCATTTATTATCTGTACAACCTTGGGAAAATTATCTAACCTTTTTTTTTTTTTTTTTTTTTTTAAGATTTCATTTATTCATTCATGAGAGAGACAGAGAGAAGAGAGGCAGAGACCCAGGCAGAGGGAGAAGCAGGCTTCATGCAGGGAGCCGATGTGGGACTCGATCCCAGGTCTGATAGTGGTGCTAAGCCACCGGGGCTGCCCAAAATTATTTAACCCTTTGCCTCTGTTTTCTCATCTGTAAAATGAGGATAACAGTAGCACCTGCTTCATAGCATTGGTGGGATAAGTTACATGATTTTTTTATTCATATGACCTACTTGGAACAGCTGCTGGCTGTAAGTGGTAAGTGCTCAATAAATTTTAGCTGTTGTCCTGTTAGAGGAAAGATTTTATGGCTTGTATTTTATATAAGGAAAGATGTATTATGTCTAATAGGAAATTCAGTTTGCTTTAAGCTCTAAGTTTATCAACTCTAAGTCAATTTAACAGCTTTGTGTTGACTAAACCTTCCACTATAGAATCTGTTGTAGGTTCAGTTTTTGCAAGGAAGTACCAGAACGCAAGTCTATAGTTTTTACCTGCAGGTTTAATTTGAAATCAGGGACACCTCCATTAAATTCTTTGTCGAGGGCATATTTGCCCCACAGCCCTGTTTTTCCACATTATTGTGTGATATACAGGAATCTCTTCCCGTTTAGATTATTGGTATCTTGTACAAATAGAAGCACAGATATTTAGCGAATTGATCTTGCTGTTTTAAAAGGTATTTATAAGGGCACCTGGGTGGCTCAATCAGTTACACATCTGACTTGGGCTAGGTTCATGGTTTTGGAGTCCTGGGATTGAGCCCCACGTCGTGCTCTGCATCCAGCTTGGCTTTGTATTGGGCTGGGAGGGATGCTTGTTCTTCTCCCTCTGCCCCTCCCCTTTCCGTACATATGCCTGTGCTTGCTCACTCTCAAGTATATAATAAAATCTTTAAAAATAAGTAAATAGGTATTTATAATGTTGGATTTCCAGATTTTTTTGTTGTAACCAGGCTTTCTCCACTGTCCTGTCCCATCCCCACCATGTAAGGCATACTCTTCAGTTTGAGGTAAAGAGATAACAGTTTACCAACTCTGTCTCCAGAAATGCAAGTTAAAATTTACTTTGTAATAAGCCTTGTAAAGAAAGAAGTAATCTTGTGGACTTTGAGGAATTCTGAATGCTTTTTTTGGAGCCATCATTGTAGTGTGTATATTCTTGAGATCTTAAATGTGCTTGTAAATTGAAGGGCAATGTTGGAGGCTGGCCTGTTGAGGTAAGTGTCTCAAGTGAGACATTGCTCATTGTTGTAATTACTGCAAAGATTTAATGATAATCACTAAGATTCTCTTGAGATGTATTAAATTACAACACTTCATTTGTAGATTAAATCTTTAATTTATGGTTAAGGTTGCAAAGTGTGTTATAGGATGTATTTTCCACTGTAGGTTATAAGAAACAAATCATAAATTATTTTTTTAAGCCTCAAAAGGTAATTTATTGGATCACATCATTTAGAAGTTCAAGTGGCTCAATCTTCATGTTTGGCTGGATTCAGCATCTGAATCTAAGGAAAGAAAATCTCTCTCTTTTTTTTTTAAGATTTTATTTATTTATTCATGAGACACGCACACACACACAGAGGCAGAGACACACAGGCAGAGGAGAAGCAGGCTCCATGCAGGGAGCCTAATGTGGGACTGGATCCTGGGTCTCCAGGATCGCACCTTGGAGTGAAGGCGGCACTAAACCGCTGAGCCCCCGGGGCTGCCCAAAGGAAAGAAAATCTTAAAAGACTTGAGATACTCTATCTTTGCTTTCTTCAACATTGACTTAATTTTCAGGCTCACCCTCCCCCCCTTCATTGAGTGGCTGCAGTATCTCCAGGTATAATATGCATTCAGCTTCAACTTGAACAGACATGCCTTTCATATGATTGCTTTATCAAAAATCTAGAATTAATTTCATTGGCTTTCATTGGGTCATGTGCCTATGTTAATAACAGGGAAATGCTATGTTTGCTTTTTTTCCAACTACAGTTCAGAGATATAATTCATATACCATATTCATATGATTGAACTTGTCCATTTACAGAGCACGGTGGTTTTCAGTATATTCACGGGGTATGCAGCCATCACTGCAGGTTAATTTTAGAACAGTTTCTTGACCTCCAAAACCATCTCCATGCTCATTAATGGTGTCAATCTAGATGATAATGAGACTGTAAAGCAACCAAAAGGGTTTATTTGGTGTCTTAGGGACTGCAGTCTGGGACACCCAGAGTTGACCAGAATTCAGAATATGCTCCAGTGAGTGGGGAGTGCATGCTTATATAGGCAGAAAGCACAAGGCTATATAACTTGTTTTGGAAGAATAATGGTTGGTGCTAGCAGAGTTTAAACTAACTATAACACATGGTTGATTATTTGGTTAATAGACGTTAACATTCTCTATTTCAGTCCAAAGTAGGAGGATGTATTCCTGGAGGTGGTCTAGTTGCAGTTGCCAAAAGTCAAAAGTTCATGGTGTTCCAAAAATTGAAACTGGAGACCAGCATAGGCCCTGTTTCTTCACTATCCTTTTGACTCTGTTTAGAGTGACTCTTTATAATGCCTGTGTTTTGGAATCTTCTTCACAAATAACTTCCCTTTCCTCCAACCCAAGCATTCCCAGGCAGCTATTAATCTAGTTTTTATCTCTAGATTTGTGTGTTCTGAACATTTCTTTTAGATGAATTAATAATAATAATATGTGATCCTTTGTGACTTTTCTCTCACTTCACATGTTTTCAAGGCATATCCATGTTGAAGCATGTCTGTACTTCACTGCTTTTTATTGCCAAGTTATAGTCCATTGTATAGATATGCCACATTTTGTTTCTCCTTCTGCCAGTTAACAGACACTTGCATTGTTAGCATTTGCTGCTGTGAGCATTGATGTACAAGTATTTGTGTAGTCCTACATTTTTAATTCTCTTGGGTATATGCCTAGGAGCAGAGAGTTGCTCCATCATATGAAAACTATATTTGATCTTTTTGAGAAACTGCCAGAGTGTTCTTCAAAGTAGATGAACCATTTATATTGTCAACTACATGCATAAGATGTCCACATCCATGGCAAATACTTGTCTTTTTGTGATAGGTACTGTGTTTTTCATTGGTGGTTAATGTCGTCGAACATCTTTTTATGTGCATATTTGCTATTTTTTATATCTTTGGGAAAATTGTCTATTCAGAATTTTTGTTAACTTTCAATTTGAGTTGTCTTTGTATTGTTGGGTTGTAAGAATTCTTTATTGAATTCTAGTGACTGTAAATATGACGGTTTATTTTTGGATTGTCAGTTCTGTTCAGTACTACATGTTTTGTTACGTGGTTTTGTAAGTAAATTTTGAAGTTGGGAAGTGTGAGTCCTACAGATTTATTCCTTTCAAAATGAATTCTAGGATTAGGTTCTAAATTTCTGAAAAGACATCTAGGATAAGGGTTGCACTGAATCTGTAGGTGAATCCAGGATCCAGGGAGTATTGCCTCCTTAATAGCATCAAATCTTTAATTGAACGTGGGGTGCTTTTCATTTTTTTATAGGTCTTTAATTTTTTTAATAAAAATTTTTTAGTAATCTCTACATTCAACATGGGGCTCAAACTCAAAGCCATAAGATCAAGCGTTGCATGCTCTTCCAACCGAGCCAGCCGATATTTTGATTTTTTTTTTTTTTTTTTAAGTAAACTCAGTACCCAACAGGGCTCGAATTCACTCTGAGATCATCAAAAGAGTTTTATGCTCTACCGACCCAGCCAGCCAGGTCCCCTTGGTCTTTAATTTCTTGTAGCAATGTTTTATGGAGTATAATTTTTCATTTCTGTTAAATTTATTCCAAAGTGTTTGATTCTTTTTAATGTTACTGTAATGAGATTGTTTTCTAGATTGTGTTGTTTAGAAATACATTTGGCTTTTGTATATTGAGGATGTACTAGACAGCCTAGCTAAACTATCTTATTACTTATGTTTTTTATGGGGTTCCTTATGGTTTTCTATATATAAGATGATGTCATCTACAACTAGAGATAGTTTTACTTCTTCATTTCCAATCTAGGTGTCTTTTACTTCTTTTTTTTTCTTTTGCTTAACTGCCGTGGTTAGACCCTCTGGTATAATATCTAACAGAAATAGCAAGTACAGACATCTGTTTTGTTCCTGATCTTGTAGAGGATAAGCATTCAGTCTTTCCCTGTACATTATGATATATGCTGTGGGTTTTTTGTAGATGCCTTTTACCAACTCAGAGAAATTCCCTTCTACTTATAGTTTGTTTTTATCATGAAAAGATGTTGGATTTGAAGGTGCATTTAATTTCTATCTTATTTGATCCTTCTGCATCTACTGAGATCATTTGATTTTGTCCTTTATTCTATTGATACATTATATAATATTTTTTTAAATGTTGAACCTGTCTTGCATTTCAGGGATAAGTCC